AACTTTGATGAATTTAGACACAATACTGTAGAAAGAAAAAGAAATTGATTAATACACTTAAACTAAATTAAAGTTTTAATATCCGTAATTATTACGTCCAGCAAAATCGTTCCAAAGACTAACTGCGGCACTTCCTATATGGTATTTTTCACTTTTTAAAATTTTTTACTATTAAAAAATTTTCGTTTGATACCGTATTTTCTGATGTGGTTATCCATTTTGAGCGATTTAAAATCTGTTAGAAAGCTTACAATGTAACCGTGATAAATATGTTATGAACAAAGTTTAAATGTCGAAAATTATTTTGCATGAATTATTGAACGCAAAATAAACTGTAACTATTAACTTCATTTCTTGTAGCATGTTTGACTTGTTATTATGAACTCATCGTTTATCGATTTTTAAATTTGAAATATGTATTTCAAAGTTTGTCTTGAATACTACAAAACAATAACAAAAACCTCACTCGACGAAAAAATAAAATAACCCCTAAATATGCCAAAACTGGTAATGCCAAAACAGAAATTGAAAGAAAAAAATATCCAATTTTTTCACTTTTCACTTTTTCATTTTTGCAAAAACCTTAAATGTATCAATTGAATTGATTCAAACAAATATGAATTGAATGCAAGATTAAAATAAGGTTTGAATTTGTATATTTAAATTTTCAAAAACACACGTATACATCTAATTAATTGCTCTACTAAAATACTGCGACTTTTTCAGATAATGTCACTTTTCACATTGTCATTTTCGCAAACATCTTGTATGCATCAATTGAATTGATTAAAAAAAGAAATCTATGAATTGAATGCAAAATTAAAATAATGTTTGAATTCGTATATTTTAATTTTAAAAAGCACACATGCATGTATCTAGTTAATTGTTTCAGTGAGATACTGCTACTTTTTCATAGAAAAGTGACAGAATATTCATACTCTCATTTTTGCAACATCTTGAAAGCATCAATTGAATTGATTAAAATAAATATGAATTGAATGCAAGATTAAAAGAATATTTCAATTAGTATATTTAAATTTCAAAAAACACACATGTATGCATCTAATTAATTGTTTCAATGAAAGACCGTGACTTTTTTCATAGCAGATTTTCATATGTATTAAAATAAGATAAGATTTAAATTTATATATTAAATTTTCAAAAATGCACATGTATGCATCTAATTCATTGTTCCAATGAGATACTGTAACTTTTTTAGAGAAAAATAACAAAATGCGATTTTTTGATAGAAAAGTGATATAATTCACATTCTCATTGAGTAAACACCTTGCATGCATGAATGTAATTGATTCAAAATTTTATTTTTCATACGTATTAACATAAAATAGGGCTTGAATTCGTACATTTAAATTTCCAAAATGCACACGTATGCATCTAGTTAATTGTTCTAACAAGATACCCTGATATTTTTTTTATAAAAGTGATAGAATGTCATGTTTTCATAGAAATGTGACATAATTCACATTCTCCTTGTGTTAAACANTGATATTTTTTTTAGAAAAGTGATAGAATGTCATTTTTTCATAGAAATGTGACATAATTCACATTCTCCTTGTGTTAAACATCTTGCATGCATCAATAATTTAATTAATTCAAAGTCAATTTTTTATATGTATTGATACAATCCATTTCTTATGAAGTTCAACAATGTTATTTTCAAACATGTTTCCAATCACAATAACAAAATTGGGGAACAAAATAAACAAGGAGTCAAAAACATTAAAAAAAAACTGTAATTTTGTTTGTGTATTACAAGAATATTTTCTCGATCTTTTTTAAGAACTTTCAATGTTGAACAAGCCTTGATTTATTTCAAAGTTTTGAATAATGAACGAATTTGTGGAAGATTTTTTCTTTCTTCTTCTAATTTTTCCTTGATTTTTCCAGTATGGACGCTGGTTTTTGTGGTAGCCGTGATTTTAGGTTTAGAGTATTTTGTACGTTTAAATATACCTAATTACCATTTAATCAAACTTTATCATGTTTTTTTCAAAATTACCCCAAATATAGGGTATTTATGTAAGTACCCCATTTTAATATGGCTAAAACAGGGACTATATTGAATTAGCACAAAATCTACACTGCATCTCTTTAAATTAAGGAAAACAAAATAATCTCATAAGAAAATATTGAAAACTTATTCAAAATTTAGATTACGTATAAATAAAAAATTTCGTTTATTTAATAATCTACTATGATTTTACACATGTATATATAAGATAAGATATAAACAATTAATTTTGTCTCAAAGTGTTAGGTTCATGAAAATTACATCTCGATGAGTTTTGGTTGTGAAAAATTTTAAAAATTACCACGATGTTCATATTTAGTGTTATTTTTGAAAAAAAAAAAAAAGTATGGTGTAGTCTCTGGCAAGTAGGTTCAGAATTTGTTGTTGGTGCCCGATTTCCTTGATATTTCACTTTTACAAAAAGAGAAGCTCGGTCATCATTACATGGTTTCACTTATTTGCAAATTGAAATGTCATTTTTTTGTTAAAGGGGCACTAGACCTTATTTTGACTCAAATAACAAAAAACAAAAATAATTAGAAATGAGAAGAAAAGTTAAAAAAAAAAAAATCACTTGTTGACAGGCCGTTAGTCTCAGTGTGGTCGAGACTAGACGGTTCGGTGATGGTGGTAGGAAATCGTAGGGGTGGGAGGCGGACTGGGATATGTGACAAAGCTGGAGTTGGGGCTAGTATCGAGGATTTTTATTTTATTTTCTTTAGTAGGTATTCAATTTTCATTAAAATTAAGTGATGGCCAAATAGAACAAAAAAAAAAAAATCCAATTTGGACTAATTTCTACATAAATGAAAAGTTAGGTGTGATTCTTGTAAACGAGTTGGTTTAGAGTTTAGACTACTCTTCTCTCTCTCTTTTCTATTTTACTTTTACTATAAATAGACAAGGTCGAAAATGGATAGAAACCATCTAATAAGGACTAATTTGCTATGAAAAATGATAAATATGGGCCGCCTACCATCAAAAAGTAGGTTGAAGAGCTAATTGCTATATCGACCCCAACTCTAACTTTCTCTCAATGATGACTCCGCCGAAGATGCAGTGGCTGATGCACAGTCAATGAAGAGTAATAAGTCATTACTTGTAGAATTATTGATAACTTTTTAAAATTTCAAAAGTGCCACATCCATTAGGTCACAATTATAATGGCAAGAACCTTAAATCATTTGTCTATAATTTACTAGCACATAAGAATTTATTAACATCCCATTTCTTGACCATATCAACAATTTTAACCCCACCCCACCCCTTTCTCACTGCAACCCTCCCTCCCTCCATCCCAACCCACCCCATAGAACTTTACCATGATGGACTCGTTAGCAATGTGCTTGAATTCTCCGCATAAGAGGGCAAGAAAATTTCTTGCAAGACTGAATTTCTTCATAAGTAGGAAGAAAAGAAGGCCTAAAAGACTTGTTTTTGATTTAAGCCGGTTAAGTTCATCATTTGCAGCCATGGAGTTATCTAACCAATTTAAGCAAGCCTTCAAACGCATCGACATGAATGGGGATGGGAAAATATCAAGTTTCGAGCTAGAAGACGNCATGGAGTTATCTAACCAATTGAAGCAAGCCTTCAAACTCATCGACATGAATGGGGATGGGAAAATATCAAGTTTCGAGCTAGAAGACGTGCTTCTCAACCTCAGACATGACAAGAAAACCCCAGACAAATAAGCTCTAGGAATGTAAGAGGAATGGATAGTAGTGAAGATGGTTTTTACCAAATATGAAGAACTTATTCAAGAAATAATAGTTGAGAAAATTGAAAATCCTCAACTTAAGAAAAAGTTCAATTCCCTCCTGCCTTCAAAGTCAAAACCATCTTCAGCAGACACTTATAGTATGCAAAATATTATGAATTGGTTTAAACTTTAAAGTTGAATCTTCAAAATCATCTATTCCTGATCTAAGATTTGAGATTAATGAAATGAAATCCCGAATTTCCATTCTTCAAAATCAGATGAAAGACGTTCGTATGGAAGTAGTTCTCTTGAAAACTAAATAGAATAATCAAAACATTACTGAATCTGACATTCTTTCTCAGGTCCCGTTCGGGAGGGATTAAAAACCAATTAAAATTGAAAATATGGCCGTTATTGGGCCCCACTCGTCTAATAAAAGTCATCAATAACGGCTATATTTTCAATTTTAATCTGATTTTAATCCCTCCCATACAAGCCCTCAATCTTCAAAAAATTCTGTTATTCCTCAAACTGAAGAAGAAAATATTAATATTATTAGCCGTATTCAACTGCAAAAATGGTATTACAATATGACTATTATTATCAATAAAGAGCTTAAATTTGAAACTAGAGTCTTAATTGATACTGGTACTGATCAAAATTGTATTAGGGAATGATTAATCCCTACAAAGTATTTTGAAAAAAAACCATTGAACGTCTATATGGTGCCAGTGGAAGGAAATTGAATATTTAATATAAACATTCTAAAACTCATGTTTGTTTTAAAAATATTTTTTATATTGTCAAAAATCTTGACCAAGAAGTTATTCTTAGCACTCATTTTATTGTTCAAATTTACACATTTCAAGTTGATTCAAATTTTTAACTACGAATATCTTTGGTCAAAAAATTACTATCAATTTACTAATCTTTATTCTTACAAAGATGTTAATACTTTGAAAGAAGTTTTTATTTTAAAAATTATTAACAATATTATTTTCAAGAAAAGACGTTCAATTTTTAAAAGAAGATTAGATTTCAAAGAATCGAGAAACAGTTAAAAGATTCCTTCATTATTGCAAAAATCCCTTTTTTTCAGAAGCGTATCGAGGAAAAAATATGTTCTACTATCCCAAATACTTTTCGGAATATGAAAAATCATGTTGTGTCTCTTCCTTATACTCATGATTTTCATGAATCCAATATTCTTACCAAATCTCGACCCATTCAAATTAACAAAGAATTATTTGATCACTGTACCAAGGAAATCGATGATCAACTGCTTATCTGACCAAGTAAATTACCTAGAAGTTGTTCTGCATTTTATGTCAACAATTCTGCTGAAATTGAACGAGGAGCCTCTCGTTTGGTTATCAATTATCGGGAGATATTCACCTTCAAGAAAGTTTTAGTATTCTTGTAATTTTAAAGCTTTCTTTTAAAATTTTCAATTGTAGTTTTCAATCGGTAGATACTCACCTTCAAGAAAGTTTTAGTACTCTTGTAATTTTAAAGTTTTCTTTTAAAATTTTCAATTGTAATTTTCACAATGGTTGCATTTGAAGCACGACTTATGATAAGTTTGTTGGGTTTTGATACCCAATAAATTCGGGCTATGATATTAAACCATTTTATTTGTTGGATTATATTTCATAGGCATCGGCCGATGATTGAAATTGTGTATTGACACCACAATCGAACCAATCGAATCACGTAATCCACTTGAGCCATTTGTAGCAACCTAATTATATTAGTGTTGCTCATGGCCCAACCCAAATACTTGGAAGGCTTTAAGATTGGTAGCCCACTTATCTCCTTTGTTATTGGGCCTGTTGTTTGACCTAAAGCCTAAACCTATTGCTAACCTANGCCATTTGTAGCAACCTAATTATATTAGTGTTGCTCATGGCCCAACCCAAATACTTGGAAGGCTTTAAGATTGATAGCCCACTTATCTCCTTGTTATTGGGCCTGTTGTTTGACCTAAAGCCTTAAACCTATTGCTAACCTATTTATTTAGTTGACCATTACTATTGTTAGGGTGTGAAGGAGCTACAGCCGTCCCCTTTTCTGGTGAAAGAGAGAAACCGGTTTTCTTGCCTTTGCTTTGTGCAATTACTTGCGCTGTGTGCTTTTCTTCTTGCAAGACCCGTTCCTTCTTCTTCTCTGCCTAGCCTTTGTTGCTGTTGTCTTTGGCTGTAACCTTTCCACCCTTAGTCCTTAGTGGGCTGTAGAGATTGGAGCAACCAAGTGTGTTTGGGAAGGTGTTGTTGGTTTGTGGATTCGATTGGTTGTTTGTGGTATTTGATTGATTGGTTAGCTGAGCCCGGAAATCACAAGATTGGAGCACAAATTTCAACAAAGTTGTTCCATCAGCAGACAATAAATCTACAAAATAAACAGTCTTGTCACAAGCCTTGCATTTATCCAAAGTTCCTGTAAATGTAGACATTCTTAGTTTTCTCGAAACTTATAATTTTGGGGCAAGATTTTGTGTGTGAAAATGAAACTGATATCTGCAAATAATATGGTTTGTGTGTGTTAGCAGTGGAGGACAGGTGATTGGAGATCCCAATATTATGAGAATATATAATTTATAAAATGTGGATGTAATGTGCTTCAAGGAGAGTTGAAATAGGCTATTGTTTCGAGTCATCTTTCCCATTAGAAATGGAAAAACAATAATAATAAAAAAAAAGTCCATGTATTTCTGTTTTTAGGGTGAACAAAAGAATTAAGTAATTCTATTAAAATATTTGCCAATGTTGATTCAAGAGAACCTAAAGACAATGAAAATTAAATGGCTAAGGGTATGTTCTCTTTACCATTTTCAAATTGTTTTCTGTTTTCGATTTTCCAAAACAGTGAAAACTCATTTTTGAAAACAAGTTTAAAAATTTACAAAGAAAACACAAAACGACAATCGTTTTGGGTGTTTTCAGTTATAATCAATCCAAAATTTTCAAAACGTGTTTTGGGTGGTTTCAAAACAATTTTTCAAAATGCCAAAAAGAATACATTTTCAACAATTTCAAACTAAACACTCAAAACACAAAACCTAAAATAAATTCAAAACTCAAAATACAAAATTGAAATACAAAGAGAATAACCCCTAAATGATTGGAGTGAGTTTTGATTTGTTGATGAAGATGGTGAGGTTTGATGCAAATCTCCAAAAAGTGTAATAAGGTGTGGCAAGACACTAAGAATCGAACCTCAAGTCTTAAGAGTCTAAGTGTACCTACGATAAACCTAGGCATAATAC